CCCCCCCCACTGTAGCTCCTTGTCCCCCTCCCAGCTTCCAGGCCCGGAGCCCCTCCACCCCGCTTCGGGCGGGGTCCTCTCCAGCTCCCTGCCCGGACCCCCCAGTCCCTGGACCCTGCGGCCCGCCCCTCACCGAGGCAGGCTGGGCCTGGGCAGCCTTGGCCTAGGGCACCCCGGGAGCCTCACCGGGCACCTCTAACGCCGGGGCTGCTTTCGGAGCCTGGGAGTGGGGGGAGATCCCAGGCGCATCCCTCCTGGAAAAGAGCGGCCTGTTGGAAGGGTGCTGGGAATCTGGGATAGGGCCGCCCCCCCCCCCGGAAAATTTCGGGCGCTGAGAGATCCCTCTCCTAAGGGGACTTTGCAGGAAGACCTCGCTCCCCCTACTTGGGGAGGGGGACTCCCTAGGACGCGTTGTACCCCTCCCCGAGGCACTTGGGGCGCTCGATGTGCACCCCCCCCCGGAGCTTTGGAGCGGCGGTAGAGGGCTCACCCTGCCCCCCACCAAGGGCGGGCCTTGAAACGCACCCCCACAGCCTGGGGGTGGCGGGGGACGGGGCGGCTCCGGAGCGCACCCACCCCCTCCGCTTCCCCGGGAGTGGCGGGGGCAGGAAGCGAGGGCAGGGGCCGCGCCAGGGGCTGTAAACAGGGGCCCGGGAAATGCGGGGGGGGGGGTGCTGCAGCTGCCCTGGCCGCTGCCTCCGGGCTTGGGAGAGGGAAGTGAGCTGCCAACCCTCCCGCCCGCCCAGCCCTAACCCGGGACGCCCCCTCCTCACAGGGCTCGTCGCACCTACCCCAGCAACTCAAATTCACCACCTCGGACTCCTGCGACCGCATCAAAGACGAGTTTCAGCTGCTGCAGGCTCAGTACCACAGGTGAGCTCGGGCAGGGGTCCCTTCCCCGGGAGAAGGTGGTAGAATGTGGAACCCCCTGTGCAGTTGGCAAGAAAGGTGGAGGTGGTGGCCCCTGCTATACATACAAGTACTTGAACACTTATTTGTATTTTTGTAACATGAGTTGTATGGCAAGCACTGTCCTGAGCACATTACCGAAGACTAAAATCGTTTAGTCTTCCAAACAGCCAATTTCACAGCCGAGAAAATGGAGGCACAAAATTAAATGATTTGTCCAAAAACTCAGCTGTATGGCTTCAGAGGGCTGCTACCCACTTTCACCCTAATCCCCACTGGATTAAAAACCTCCCAACAACTGGAGTTGGGGAAGAGACCCCCACACTTCCTAAAAGAAATGCAAATTCTCAAAGGCTTTGCTATATGGGGGGGGCGGGGGCTTGCCTGGGAATCAGTAGGGGGGTCCCTGGCCACCAATTTCAGGGAGGTCTTGGGCTGTCTCTGGACCTCATTTACCCACATAAAAAGATCCCGGGTTTTTCTCCAAGAAGAAAAGTGGAGTAGTGATGTTTTGGGTTTTTTTAACAAACACCCAACCTCTTGGGGGTACTTCCCATGCTCCCCAAGTGTTAAATACTGAACATCTTTTTAATCTTCTTTGCTGTCTTATTACTGTGCCCATTTCAAAGATGAGACAGAGACACTGATGGTGGAAGGGTAGGAACTTTGTTCCGGTCCTGTGATGTGGAGGGTTTAGGGGCTTTGCTTAGCAGCCCTGGCCTTTCTGAGCCCCTGCAGTGGGTTCTCCCCTCCCTGCCTGGCCCATGCCCACTTCACAGTGAGCACTGGGGCTGCCAATCCCCGAGACCGCAGGTCAGAGTGCTGTTACAGAGCTGTGTGTCCTCGGTAAGCCAGCCCCCTCCTCTCTGAGCCTTGGGGTCTCCATCCACTGGGCCTGGGCTTCCTGCTATACAATGAAGAGTCCTACCATGTTGGCACATAGGATCTGCTAGGCCCTCAAAAAAGGCCAGAAAACCAGAGTTTGGAATGAAATTACCTGTTTGTTTGTTGGTTTGTTTGTTTGTTTTTAAAGCTTTTATTGGAGAATTGGGGAAGGGGAACAGACAAGTTGCTGTCCTTTTGTTCTTCAGTCTAGTTGTGGAGGACGGCGCTTCACTGGCCCATGTTGGTATTATTATTGCGCTCTTCCCGGGTGAGGCAGATGGGTCGCCAGCCCCTGGACAGCCGCTTATTCTGGCTGTTGGCCACTCATAGTAGCTTAGGGCAGCCCAGCTCCAGGTCGAGCTGTTGTTCACCATCTTAGCTGTAGAGGGCACAGCGTCACTGGCCTTAATGTGAGATCCGAACCGGGGCCCAGCTGCTCAGAACAGGCGTCCGAAGCCAACTCTTAACCAAAGCACCACTTGGCTGGCCCTGTTTGTTCTTTTTAATGGCGGCAACAAATGCACATGTTTTTTTAAATTAGAGAAAAAACTCAAGGGGCCACATCAACCCCAGCTGTGATTTATCTCTGAACTGGGGTGTATAGTTATGGTCAGTCTGGCAGAGTGAAACACCAGGTTCCTGGGGTGACCATGAGAGCAACAAAAGCACTAATTGGGTGCTTACTGTATGCCAGGCATTATTCTAAGAGGATTTCTGGTCTTAATCCATTTCATCCTCATGAGGTTGGTATTTAACAGGCACAGAGACCAAGGCCAAGAGGGGTAGAAGGGTTTGCCCAGAGTTACACAGCATCAAAGTAGCAGGGCTAAGCCTTGAACCCAGTCTGTCTTCTTGAGTCTGTGCTGTCAGCTGTCTACCTGACCCCTCATAGGGGACTTTGAGAAATGCCTGCAGCTCCTCCTTTATGGGGGAGCCCAAGAGGTTGAGGGTCATTGTCTCTATTACCCAACAGTAGATCTTTTACCCCCTAGTGAAATAAAGACCCACAAGAGGGGCTGGGCCCCTTTGGAGATTCCTTGGTGAGTGCAACCCAGAGCCAGACCAGCCAGCCCCACCAGTCCTCTCCTGGGCCCCTTTGCAGTTTCTATTTGTCCTTCACCCTTGGAGAGTTTTCCCCAGTGATTGAGGATGGCTGTGAAGCCAGCTAGCTTCCTGGCTGTGTGACCTTGAGCCAGTTTTTCAACCTCTCTGGGTGTCCATTGCATCATCTGTAAAATGAGTGATGCTAATAGTACTGACCTCATTGGGTTTCGGGATGGGTAAAAGGTTCTTTGAATCCCTGGCTGACCCAGAGTCAGGGTATTTGCTTTGACGTTTATTATTATCAGTTTCTCCACCTACTAGATCTGCAAGACTGGTTTCATAATCCCCATTTTAGTTAGGTGACCTGAGGCTCCCCCAACCCCATCTTCACAGAGAAGGTCCGGTTTTTTCCTGTTAAAATTTTAGGCTCAGCCCAACCCCCGCCCCCGTTTCCCCTTGCTCTTCTTCAGCCTGAAGCTCGAATGTGACAAGCTGGCCAGCGAGAAGTCAGAGATGCAACGTCATTACGTGATGGTGAGCTGACCCGGGTCCCACCAAACCCCAGCCACCTCCTCTGGGAAGTGTGAGGATGCAGGGTCCGCCTTGCTGACCTGGCTGCTGGCCCAGGCAGTGGCAGAGGTGCCAAACCACCGGGTTGCAGCCTGGGCCTGCCAGGTCCCCTGGCTGTCCTTGGCAGCCAGCAGAGGAGGCAGTGGCTGTGGGAGCCAGGAACTGACATGGGGGAGCAGCAGGATCCCCCCCTGCCCCACCATCCCTGGCATCTCAGTGCTTAAGTCCTCCTAGCCCAAGTTTAGGAAGAAGACTCCTGGGGGGTGGGGGGCAGAGAAGAGTGACACCCTTTGAAGTTGATGGGAAGGAGGAGCTTACAAGTCCTTCTCTGGCCTGACATTTGAGACCCTGCTCATCCACACTGCCAGAATCAGTTGCTCAGTTTTGTGCATCAAAAACCATTGCCTTGGCCCAGCCCCTAATCCAGCTCTTTCAGGCTGTGAGGGAGGCAGAGCCTGACACTAAAGCTCCCAGCCCCAGGGGGAGGGGACTGGGGGACTCCAGAGGGGAGTCAATGCCTGAGGAAGGCTGCATGGAGAATGGGGCATTGGCAGCTTTGGGTCTTGGAGAATAAGTAGGAGCTTGCTGGGCAGGGTAGGGGGACCAAGCAAAGGCCTGAAAACCACTTGGTTTTGGGGGGGAGGTGATGGGGAGCCATGGGAGGGTGTAGAGCATGAGAGAGGGCAGGATCAGATCTGGGGTCCAGGATAGGGGGCAGCTGCTGGCCCCAAAGCCAAACCCAGCAGGCTTTGTTTATCTTCCATTATTTATACCCAGGAAGGCAAACTTCCCTGGAGTCTGGGGCCACCCGCAGGCAAGACACATAAAGATAAAAGATTAGGAGCCTTGGAATGTGTTTGTGTGTTGGGGGGAGCAGTGGAGCTCCATAATTATTCCAGAAGCCAGGGAGTGGAACTGGGGCCCTAGAGCTCCCCCAGCTCCCAGCAGCCCCACCAAGCACCTGGGCCCCTATCCCTGCTATGGGTGTCTCCCCACTCCCGTCTCCCTCCCACCTGCCTCTTTTCATCACTCACTGCTCCATGTCTCTCACTGTTTCCCCTTCTCTGCCTCCCCCTCTTTGTCTCTCTTGCCCCCACCTCTTTGTCCCTCGAGCCCCCCATCCTTTGCCCGCCCCCATTTCTCTCTCTCTCTGTTCCCCCACGCAGTACTACGAGATGTCCTACGGCTTGAACATTGAAATGCACAAGCAGGTATACCCCCTCCCTCTCCCCTTGGCACCTTAGGCAGGTAGGAGCCTGTCCCTTGGCTGAACAGTAAGGCTTCCCTGTGATCCTGTTCCCTCCCAACCCCCCCCCTTCTTTCTCAGGTGTCCCTGGGAGGTTGTTCTGCCCGAGGGGGAGGGGCAGAGGCCTTTCCTGGGACCTGCCACCGCCACCCTGTCATCTCCCCTTTGTGACAGTGGGGGAGGGTGATGTGCCCACACATGGTGTGACCCTCAGATTGCCCCTGGCCCTCTGGCCTTACTTTAGTCTTTAGCCTTCTGTGACCTCAGAAGGCCACTATCAGGGATGTCACAGAATAATGATGCTACTGCCGCCATCCTCTCTCCCACCCATGGAGTGCTCACTACTGACCAGATGCTCTCTGGGCATCATCCACTCAGGGCCACCCAGACCCCAAGTGGCCCAGTCTGGATTTGGGCCTGTGTCTGCACTGTTAGCTGCAGGACCAAGTACTCGCCTCAGATCCCACCTTTGCCACTGATTGGGTGCCCTTTGGCCCTCGTGTCGATCTTACACTGAACTGAGCTGGTCCCTCTTAGAACCCCAGGCCTCCTGGGCTGGTCTGCACCTGCCCCCTCTGCCTGCGGGGGACTAAAGCATCTGTGTGTTTGTTCTAGGCTGAAATTGTCAAGAGGCTGAATGGGATCTGTGCCCAGGTCCTCCCCTACCTTTCCCAAGAGGTGAGTGGTGCCCCCCCCCAACCCCACACCCTGCAGAAGCTGTGGGTAGAAGGGGGTAAATAGATCATGAACTCGTCCCCAGTACTTCCCACTTCAGCCATCTGGGGCCCAAGCATGCCGGGTGCCCCAGAACACACGCCTCCCCTCTCTGGACCTTCCAGCTACTAGCCTGCCTGTACAGAAGAGTCCTCAGGCTGTAGAACCCCCAGAGGTTCAGGGCAATGGAGGAAGGGGCCTCACCCTGCTGTGGAATTCCCAGCCTGAGTGAGTCATTTCACCTTAAAAATGTCAGCTACACCAAAGGCTACACCAAGAATTTTTTTTCCCTGTTTTGTTTTCACCTTTTACCCTCCTGGGATTCACCTGTGGACTGCTTCGGGCCAGGGACAAGGGCATATGTGGGGAGGGCACTTTGTACACAGATAAACACAAATGCAACACACATACACATGGCACACATACGTACACACAGAGATACACGTTTGTGCAAACATGTAGAGACATGCACACGTGCACAGATACAATGTGGACACCAGCACACAGATACACAAGCAGACACACAGCTGCACACAGATGTAGACACTTGACATGGGCACACATGGACACATGCACACACCCAGAAGAACCAGGCACCCATCTCTTTCTCTTCCGCTTTTTCAGGTTCTTAGACGCTTGGTGTGAGGCCCACTCCACACATACCCTACACCTGTACCCTGCCAGGCCGTGTAAGGCCCAGCTCCTGCTCTCTGCTAGGTTTACTGTTGATAATTCATCATTTCCTCTTCAATCCCTACCCATATTTCGGGGTCCTTTGGGTGACGTGCGTTCCTAGGGACCACACCAGAAGGACACCATGAAAGCCTCAGAGAAGAAGAGGGTTCTGGGGACTTATGCTTACTTTTCATAACAGGCTTCTCAGTAGCCAAGGCAAAAAGGGATATGGCAGAGTGTAGCATCTGATGGCAGGAGAAACTGACTTTGAGGGAGAGCTAGGGAAGTGTGGGAGCTATACCCTGAACCTAGACCATACCCCAGCCCTGCCAGAATGCACTGGGCTTTCCGCAGCTGTGGAAGGACGAGCTTGGATTAGCAGATCTCACGGCACAGTCTCTGAGCCTTTGAAGGATGAGGACTTCCCTGTACAGCTGGCCAGGTTGTTCACTGTACGTTTTTTTGTACCTGGCATAGGATAGGTCATGATCCAGGAGGGTTTCTCTCTGACTCACCTAAAGGCCTTTTCCTAAGTATCTGGCCCCAACCCCTTTGGGTCTTATAGACACATCTCTATTTGTCCCCATTTTCCAGATGAAACAATTGAAGCTTGGTGAAAGGAAGTGGCTAGGGAAGAGAGGAGGCTTTCTGATGGGATGGAAAGCCATGGGGTTGGGGGTTAGTGCTAGCAGGCCAGATGGGAGTGGGGCTTCTCCTGGGCTCTGCGACAGACCCCGGGTCCTCTTTCCTTCCAGCACCAGCAGCAGGTCTTGGGAGCCATTGAGAGAGCTAAGCAGGTCACAGCTCCTGAGCTGAACTCCATCATCCGAGTAAGTCTAGGATGTGGGTCTAGGGTGGATGGGAGGGCAGGCAGGTGGCAAATGGGCCTGAGTAGGCTGACACCCCCCTCCCTCTGCCCTGCAGCAGCAGCTCCAGGCCCACCAGCTGTCCCAGCTGCAGGCTCTGGCCCTGCCCCTGACCCCACTACCTGTGGGACTGCAGCCGCCTTCACTGCCGGCGGTCAGCGCAGGCACCGGCCTCCTCTCACTGTCTGCGCTAGGTTCCCAGGCCCACCTCTCCAAGGAAGACAAGAATGGGCATGATGGTGACACCCACCAGGAGGATGACGGCGAGAAGTCGGATTAGCTAGGGGCCAGGATGGGGAGAGTGGGGAACAAAAGGGAGACAGATGCACAGAGAGGAATGTTCACCGTAAGACAATATAGCTCGGGATTGGCTAAACTCGGGTATTATTTATGGTAGCTCCTGCTGGGGCCTTAGCCCCACCTGTGTGCCACCCTCTAGCTTTGTTCCACCTCCCTGCCTCCCTGCCTCCCTCCTCCTCCCCCCTCCTCTCCCCTGTAGCCTGAATGAGTAAATACCTGCTCATACCACAGATAAGGCAAGCTGAGTCCTGGAAGCGCAAATGGGAGGCTAGGTTAGAAGAGAGCAAAACCTCAAGCAGTCCAACACCCCCTGCACTGCCCCATTTCACACATGTGTAACTGACAGTCCGCCTGCCGGGCCCCTCAGGGCACACCCCAGCCTCCCACCCTGGCACTGCATGCAAACACAATGCTAGCTGCCCCTTCCTGCCCTGGGCACCCCTGTCTCCCCCTCCTGCCTACTCACCTCCTCCACTTGTTCCAGACGCCCATGCCCACGTGGTCCTCCTCGCCTACCAAGGAACACAAGCTTAGCTGGGGTGAGCAGGGTGGGGGTGGGCAACCCAAGATTTTCCTTCTCCCTTTCCTGAATAAAGATGAGGGTATTCGAGTTGTCTTGGTTTTTATTTTATTTTTTTCCTTTTCCCAGTATACTAGCTTGTCTTTTAAGAAAGGATATTAAAAAAAAAGAAAAAAAATGTTTAAAAAAAAAAGCAACACCCACACCTGTGTCTGTATATAGCCTTTAGACTGTCAGCTTTTGTTGTGTTCAGTTATTTGAACTCTGCAGAGAGAAGTGAAAATGCTGTATCGAGGGTGGGCTTAGCTGTGCCTTTCAAATAAAGACGTGAGAAGGTTGGCTGCTGTGTTCCTGCTTCTGTGTTGCGGGCTGCCCGCAGGGGAGGAGGGGACTTAATGTCTGGGCTCCCTCTGTTACAGGACTGGATATTGAGAGTCCTAGGTGAGTCCATCTTGTAAATGTAGTCTATCTCCTGAACTTGATGTGTAGACCAGAGAGGGTCAGCTGGAGGCTCTAGGTCACACATCATGGCCCAGGTGCTGGAGGTTTAGCAGAGCTGGTTTCTGAGCCCCAGGCCAGAGGGCCCCTAAGGGACATTCTTTTCCCTTCGAAACAGAAGATGTTGAAGCTGCGGAATCTACCCTCACTGCAACACCCATGGACCCTTTTTCCAGATCAGAGAATATAGACCCCAGCTGAACCTTGATCCTCCAAGGAAGTGGTTGAAGGCCCCCTTCCCCACCTCACCCAAGCTGGACCACCCTGGGGGGTAGCCACAAGGAAAGGAGATTCCCCCAGTGTACCTGGCACTTAGGCCAAGAGGACTTCAGGCTGCACACCCAGGAGATGCGGTGGGGTGGGCAGGCACCCATCCTGACTTTGTAAGATCTGCAAGGACTGCTTAACACTCAAATCCCACATTCAGGGAACTGGAACACTGAGGGGACTTTTGAACTACATGAAATTCTCACCTGCCTCCCAACAATGGTTTCCCATGGAGGGGTCCGAGGGCAGAGGGAGAGAAGGGAGGGAGGGAGGGTTGGTGATGGCCTGCTGGCCTCAGGGAAAATGTCTCATGTCCCTAAGGAGAAAGAGGAGACTGAGGGGACTGGGTAGTCAAACTAGCCTCCTGCTGGGTCCCATCCCTCCCCCACTGCAGCCAAAGCACCTCTAAAAAATGCCAGTTTGATGGGTTCACTCCTGCTTAACATTTGTCCTTGTTGAAAACTCGAACTCACCTACCCCACTTGGGGAGTGTAAATTGTTACATCTTCAGAAGACTGGCACCCAGCAACTCCCCTTCTGGATCCATCTCCCAACAGACATGCCATTTGAGTCTGCCCAAAAAGACAAAAGTGTTCAGAGATTTAGTTTGTCACCATTGCCCCAAACTGGAAACCACCAGGTGTCCAGTAACAGCAGATCAGATAAGTTGCGACATAGCTATGTTGTGGAATACTACACAGCTATGAAAAAGGGCCAGTTACACTCAACACCATGCATCTCCCACACGTAACGCTGAATAGAAGAAGCAGGGTACAAAAAAGGTAAATACGGTGTGATTCCATCTATGTAAAGAACAAAACCAGGTCCAAGTGACCTAGAGTGTCAGACGTTGTTGGGTTACCCTTGGGGTAAGGGGCGAAGGGGGCTTCTAATGGGGCTGGTCATGTTTCATTTCTTAACTTGGGGGCTGATTACCTGAGTGTGTTCACTTGGTGATAACTCATCAAATTATTCAGTTTCAATCTGTGTACTCTTTTGTGTTACAGTTCACAATTTTAAAAAATATATTTTAAAAAATAGATTCTCTTTGGCCTCCATGGCCCTGGAAATACATTCTAAGTTCTTCACCTGGGCACACCGAACCCTGCAGACCCTAGAATCATTCCTCCTTAGCTGGCTGCAGCCAGCTTGAAACATCTTGTATTTCTTGCCTCCAGGCCTTAGCACGTGCTGCCCACTCTTCCTGAAACAATGTTGTCTTTTTTCCCCTCCTCAGCTTCTAATCCTCCAAGACTCCCAGAAGTCACTTTTCTGAAGGCTTCCCCTGACCCTCCACCAAAGTAAGGGAGTGACACACACTTGGCCTTGGAAAGAACTTAGAACACAGCCTGGCACATCCATTGATTCATTTATTGAGACCCAACTCTGAGCCCCAGGGACACAGCAGGGAACAAAACTGACACAAATCTTTGCCTTCGTGGGCAGGGTAAACAAATAAGGAAAATACAAAATGTATTTTGTTGATAGAGGCTTGTTGATAAGAGAACAAGGCAGAGAAGGGTGGGGATGTCATTTGCATTTTTTTTTCTTTTTTTTTTTTTTGAAATTTGCACACATAGAAGCAACTCAATACACGTTAGCAAATTTATTGAGGGCAGACCTGGGTTTGTACCCAGCTCCTACCCTAATGTAGTGATTTGAGGCATGAAGTCACTTGTCTGATCTGTTTCTGGGAAACTGTTCCGAAAATTAGCAGAAAGCTTACAAGGACTCACTAGCTGTCAGCTGACATTATTATCATTATTATTATTATTACTGATGTTGCTGGCTGATGAAGGGCGCTGTCGAGGAGCGGGGGGTGGGGGGTGGTCACAAACCCGACAGCCCCCACCCAAGGGTCTTGGTCTAGGAAGGTGGGGTCCTGCCCAGCCAAGGACGGGTCTGTGATTTCAGGTGTCCCTCTGGGCTTCGGAGCCCCGCATCCTACCCGTGAGGCTAGGTACCCCGGAAGTTTAGGGAGGGTCCCGGAGTCCACGGGGGGTGGGGGAGGTGACAAGAGACCTGGGGGTACGCGATCTCGGCCGGGAAGACTGGCGGGCGGAGATGCCATCTCCGGAGCCCCCTCCCTGCCGCGACCTCCCGCGCTTAACGACACGCCGCCAGCGACCTCGGCTAATTGATCCTCTAATGGGCCCTGCGCCGCGGCCGCGCCTAATGAGGCGGGAGGAAGGGAAGGGGGGCGGTGGGAGAGCTGGAGGGGAGGAGGGGGG